ATCCCCAAATCCCAAAAATGTATGATTGATCCAGCTCTAAGACCCTAGAACTATAGACCCTAACTTTAGAAGTAATCAACCCCCAGGCAACTGGTCTGGAGGACTGAATATGAGGAAGGACATACCCCCTAGGTAGACCAAAAGGAAAACTCAGGCAAGTAGGGCTAAGAAAAGAGCCCTGACTCTGTCTCCGAGAGGCTCCTTTCTGTATGGGGAGGCAAAACGGTGCAGTGGTTAGGAAGATGGGCTTTACATCAGGCAGAGGAGAAGTTTAAATCTAAGCTCTGTTGCTTGCTAGCTGTCCTATTATGGGAAAGAAATCAAATATCTCAGAGCCTCAGTGTAAAATGGAATAAAGGACCTGTCATGGGTTTGTCTGAAGATTAAATGAGCTAATGCATATAAAGCAATTAATATGATGGCTGACACAAAATAATGACTCAATAAATAGTTTTTTGAATTTGTGATTAAGCCTAAGAATCATTTCCTTGTTGTCAAAGAGCCCTGTCACCAAGTCCAATTCTCTGCAATGGAAACAAGGCTTGTGGTTCTCTGACTATAATGAAAGGTTTACAAACACCCATATTAGTTTAACTCACTCTCATTGTGATAAGCCCAGGCCTTTGAGATAAATGTTAATAAATTTTATCTATGCATAATGAAGTCCAGATGCTTCTGGAGGCTCAGAAGTGAAATGTTTTTTTAGCTTGATGCTATCTCAAATTAGATGAAAATTGACTTTAACCCCTTTCTCTCCTTCTTCTCCTTCTGGAACTCCAATTTTTCATATTTGGTATGCCTGATAGTGTCCCACAGGTCTCTGAGGCTCTGTTTATTTTTCTTCATGCTTTTTTCTTTCTGTTTCTAAGAATGGAAAGTCTCATTTGACGTATCTGCAAGTTTGCTGACTCTTTCTTCTGTTTTCTCACATCTACTTTGGGCCCTTTAGTGAAATTTTCATTTCAGTTATTGTAATTTTCAACTCCAGAAGTCCTATTTGGTTCTTTTTTATTTTTGTCTCTTTTTTTGATATTCTCTGTTTGATGAGACATCATTCTCAAACTTTTCTTTAATCCTTTAGACACGGTTTCCTTTCTTGGACCATATGTATAATAATTGATTTACAATCTTTTTCTATTATGCCCAATGTTTCAGCTTCCTCAGGAGCATTTTCTATTAACTGCTTTTGTTCCCTATGTATATACTTTTCTGTTTCTTTGCATATCTCATAATTTTTTGTTGAAAAATGGACATTATAAATAATATGTCAATTCCAGACACGAGATTCTCCTCCCTCCCAAGGATTTGTTGTTCTTGTTGCTGTTAGGTAGTGACTTTCCTGGACCAATTGTGTAAAGTCTATATTCTTTGCCATGTACACTCACTATAGTTTCTGCCCCATTAGCTTAATGGTAAGCTAATGATTGGACAGAAATTTCCTTTAATGCCTTCAACCAATATGTCTGCCACCTTTACCAAGGAGCTCTGAGTGTGTGTGTATTGGGCTCACCTTCAAAGCTCTAGCAGGCAGTTGACAACTCTGCCTTAGCCTTTACTTCCTGTTTGTGCAGAGCTCAAGCTCAGCCAGAGGTGAGAGTTTAAGGCTTTTTCAGGTCTTTCCTGAGCATTTCCACAGCTCTGCACATGCATATGAACTTCCAAATCCCTAAGAATATCTCAGAATTTTTCAAAGCCCCCTACAGACATCATATTCTCCAGATTTTCCTTTCAAGATTTTTGGCCAGCCTCTTATTTGCCCCAACTGGTATTGCTACCTCAGGCAACTGCAATGTTAAATGGTGCTGCTGATTGTTTTCAACAAATGTCCTGGAAATAGGGCTTTTTCCACTGAGCAAACTTCGAGTCAGGTCAAATAAAGACAAGTCCTGTGAATGGGGCTTTGCCAGGAACCTGCCAGATAGGTCGAATAGTGGTAATTCTCAGGGATGGAGAACCAAACCTGTTTTGCTCCCTCCAGTGGCTATGAGGCAGTTAGTTGGTTGACACAGCTATCATGGATATGAGGTAGCTGGTTGTCACAGCTACCATAGCTGTGAGGTTACATGGTTGTCACAGCTACCATGGCTGCAAGGCAGCTGGCTAAGTTTACTGCAGAGCCTGGGAGAAGGGGATTGGAACAGGGCAAGTTAAAACACAAAGCCCACTGTACTTACTTGTGGGGTCTGGACCTAGAAGAAAGGATGGATGGATGGAAAGACTGTGAGCAGGGAGAATGAAGGGACAGACGAAAATGCCTGCATGAAGCTGCTTGTTTGCTATGTGCAAAGGTCAGCTGAAAACAGCTGACCTGTATGGATGTTGTTAAATTAGCAAATGGCCCTGACCTTTTGCACGTGTCCTTGGAAATAAATACAGGAAGAAACTTAGCAGAGGAAGCCATTTTCTCATTCAGACTTTGGTCTCTCCCCTTCTCTCTAAACACTATGTGTTTCAAATAATTATTCCTTTACTACTGAGCACCGAAGCGAAAAGATGCCACTACCTTTACTGACATTCAGCAATTTTTCTTGAATAAAAGTCACTTGCATTGTTGCAAGCCTTTGGTTAAGAGTTCTGAAAAAAAAACTGATTTTGATACTGTTTACCAGTGTTCTTGTTGCTTTTATGGAGGATCAGATTTTCTAAGATCCTTACTCCACAATTCAAGAAGTGCTTTCCTATTTATTTCCTGAATTATCATTTAACCAAATAGATAAGGAAGAGTGTCTAGAAGTACAGGATGAAAACCACTCTGCCAAATTAAAGGCTGTATAAGCAGCCAGGCATGCAAGAGAGAAGGAGTTGCTTTTTTCCCTACAGCATGGTGCAGAATGGAGCTCCTCAATGACCAGAGCAAAAATGTCCTGGTACATTTTGGTTTTTGTCTCTGGCTTTCATGGGTCAGTGGCCTGTCCCTGCCATCATCAGCTCCCAGCACTGAAGACCACAGCCTCTAGAATTGAACCATTGCCCAATTATCACCAGTATCACCATCTTTAGCCATAGAAAACATTTATCAGCTACTTATCTATTCTAGAATCACAAGGTAGGCCTGGAATACCCTGTTGTCAGAGGCAATAAGGTTTATGGTGGTCAAAGGTCGATGTACGCAAGATATTTAACTCTAGGGAAAGGAGAAAGTTCTTGGAGTTATGGAATCCTGAGTCTGGAAGGGACCCCAGAGGTCAACTGTTTCATTATCCATCTATAGCCTGATATACCCTACAACATTCCCACCAAGTGGCTGGTCCCATCCAGGCTTGAATACCTCCCAGTGATGGGCAACTCATAACTTCCTTAGTTGGATATCTCTAAGTATTGGAAACTTTGTCTTTATATTATGGATGAATGCACAGACTTAACAGAGAACTGAAAAACTGGAGGGAATGAGGAATGAAGAATTGGGACCTTGAAGACTAATCTGGTCATCAAGAGCTATTGCAGCTGAGAGGTCACCTAACTCTCATGTATGCCTGAAAAACAGGATTGCCTTTCTATGAGGATGATACCACCTCCTATCTAGGGTGTCAGCAGATAAACACATTGATAAGCCTAAAATGAAACCCTGGCACAATTCTAAGACGACATATAGGCAATTACAGAATAGGCATTAAGAATACAGGCTTTGGACTTAGACAAATCTCTATTTAAATTCTGGCTCTGCCACTTAAAAGTTGACCTTGGGCTAATTATCTAGTCTCTCTTGAGTTTAGCTTCCTCTCTGTTAAATGGGATAATTACAGTACCTGTGTCACATGGGTGTAGTGGGAGTTAAAAAAAGTCATATATGAAAAGCACATGGCACATAGTAAATGTTATTGTTAGAAAACAATGGGTTTTTGGTTGTTGTTTGTTTTTTCCCAAAACAATGGTTTTTGAGCCTATAGAAAAGACAAAACCAACTGTGGTTTCGCTAAGAATAAGTTATGTCAAACCAATCTCATTTTTTTGTTTGTTTGTTTTGTGCAGCTACTGAGTATGTTATATTCTTGTTAACTCTTGATTTTAATCAAACTTTAACTGGTGGATTAAATAGTCACATGTAGGCTGAATAGCAGTACAGTTGAGTGGATCTGTAGCAGCTTGAACTAAGGAGTACCAAAGTGGCCTGGTACCGGCCCGTGGCCTGTTAGGAACCGGGCTGTGCATCACCACCTGAGCTCTGTACTGCAACACCCCCCTCTTCACCCCCATCCATGGAAAATTGTCTTCTATGAAATCAGTCCCTGGTGCCAAAAAGGTGAAGACCGCTGAATTAACAGACTGGTGTTCGTCTGCAGGACACTCTTTAATGGAATGCCATCAGGCTCTGTCCTTCCCTTGTCTGATCAAACAATTTTATTAAAGGTTAGAAACAAGATATAAAAAACACCATGCTGGAAAGGCTAGCCAATACACTAGCGTAAAGATTCAAATTGATCTTGCCAAAAGCCAAGAAAATGAAATGAAAGAGGGATGTTGTGCATTCAGGTAAAAAAAGAAGTCAATGTTACCAAATGAGAGAGGATTGGTTGTGAAGTGGTTCACGTGGCAAGACTCATCTATGCATTCATTCATTCATTCATTCATTCCATAACTGCTGGAGTAACCACTCCAAGCTGGCCACGCTGAGGAACTATAAAGATGGAAAACTAAATCCCCACTCTCATAGAGCTCAGTCTAGTGGGGAGGTAAACCCGGAAATGGTTTTGTAAAAAATGATTACTGTTAAGATATGTAAGGCACAGCATGATAAGAAAGAGAAAGTCCCCTAATACTGCCCTACAGAGGTGATACTGAGATGAGAACTGAAGGACCAGCCAACCTTTGTCAGATAACCTGACGTGGAAAGGAATTACTTTCTAGCTGGGCTATATAGCATATGCAACCGCCCTTTCTGACCCTAAACAACAATGTTACGTGCACCTTTGGGATTTGTTAAGAGTAAGACACAGAGACACATCAGGCCTGTCATCTCACATTCCAGCCTGAGTGCACTCCTGGACACACCTGTACCTTACCATAGGTGATGACAAGCAGCACAAAGTTGAGGTTTTTGAAGAGCCGGACGATGGAACTTAAGTACGAAGCATCAGTGGACGCCAAGGCATAGCTCAGGGACTGGGCTCTGCTGGGGGGATGTTTAGGCTTCTCCTTGAAGACTGAAAGGAAAGAAACAGAGATGACTAAAAATTCCCATGGTCCTACCCCAGCAGAGCTTGCTCCACAGGGACAAGAGCTGGCTGCATCATCTGACTGGGAGTTAAGAGTGCCAAAGGAAATATTCATTCTTCAATTATATCCTTTACAGCCTCCCCTTTTGAACTGCTTCTCATTATCTGACTAACAACCAGGTGATAGCTGGAGACACCTCTCCCCATTTGCTTCCTCTAACAGCTAGATGTTAGGGGGCATTTGAACGGCACTGAGCATATAAGACTGGTGGAATTGTCAGGTCTTTGAGGGCAGGTGCTCTTCTGTGACATTCACATTATCCATCGAGGGCTTTGGAGTCAGGTAGCCATGGGTTCAAATCTCCTTTCTGTCATTAGAAGCTGGGTGACTTTGGGCAAATTACAGTGGTTTTCTCATCTGTAAAAACCAAACCAGCCGCAGGGGGCGCGGTGGCTCACGCCTGTAATCCTAGCACTCTGGGAGGCCGAGGCGGGCAGATTGCTCAAGGTCAGGAGTTCGAACCAGCCTGAGCAAGAGCGAGACCCTGTCTCTATTAAAATAGAAAGAAATTAATTGGCCCAACCCTAAAAAAATATATTATACTACCGAGATAAGACGTTGAGCGCGAGGGCACGAGGTATGGCTGGCCCGCATGTGCTCTGACAGTAGCTGTAGCACTCGCCGAGCACGTTGAGACTGCCGGGAAAAGTCTGGGAAAGGGCAGGTGAGGGAGATAGAGGTGGGAGTTGGCGTGTAAAACCTCAGGAGAGGTGGTGGCGTGGATGAGGTAGCGTGTAGCGCGCACATGCGCGCCGCTCGCACCTAACTCTACGGAGGGGCAGGGGGGCTCCTCGGGCGTTCAAGGCAGATCGAGTGGAGAGTCTGCGTCTGGAGAGAACAAAAAAGGCCAACACCGAGAGATGATAGTAACAGCACTCAACGCGGCGCTACATGGGCTGGAGAGTGGTCTTAATGAAAATACGTGTGTGGATGAACAATCCTTCTAGCATACCTTGCCATAGCCCACATGCGTAACTACTTAGTCATACCGACTACAGGGGTGTTTAAGGCAGCTTTCCAAGCTTCCTCCCCTTCCCACTTGTCTGGCATATATCACGCCCCAAGAACCAGAAGCCCCTTGGTCTAATGGATAAGAGCATCAGACTGTTACACACGCGCTTGAGTCCCCTTGTGTGTATTGCTGTGTGGCTAAGCGACCTGATGAGAAGCGCGAGCGCGTGCGCGCACGTATGTATGGAGCTATTGAGGGTTTTGATCCTTCTTGATGCTGAGCTCTCAGCCTTATGACTTGTCCCTCTAGTTCTTACGCTACCTCTCACAGATGTCTCTAAGATGCGAGAGGACTTTAGCAATGAGGCGCGGTGAACGGCGCACACACAGCCAGGGGCCCGTCCCCACAACCCACCCCATTGTGTGAGCGGCGGGACCGCAGGGCGGAGGCTGGTGCCGGAACCCCCGCAGCTCCCCGCTTCGAAAGCGGGGCGCGGGCAGACCCTGAGCAGTCAAGGCCAGTCCACGGCCAGCCAGATACTTCCGTCCCAGAGCCGCGGTCCGCCGGCCGCCTGGAGGGCCGACGCGCCTCTACTCCAGGCGGGAGGCGGGCGGCCCTCGCCTATGCGTTCCTGCGGGCGCCGGTGGTTGGGAATCTGTTCATCCGTAACGGGCCGGCGGTCCAGCCCTGGCCGGTCGTGTGGTTGCAGCCGTCAGCTGGGGACGCGATTCCGCCAGTCGTTAGAGCTATTTGGGGAACTCGGGTTTCTGGTGACTCAGCCCGTGAGCGCTTACTTTATAGTAGAATGCGTTAAGAGTAGGGAAATACGCGTTCGCTTGGATCCGCCTGCCAGGACGCAAAGACAGCTCCGTTAGGAGGCACCAACATTTAAGACAACTTTTTGAAAGAAAAAAAAAAATGACTGTTAGAGCTTGGTGCTGTAAGACATGAGCAGATCCACTAGCAGACTAATTAGAACACATTTTATCTGGAAAAGTGGAACATTTTTCCAGAGTGATAA